ACAGTAAATCGCATTTACTTCAACACACACACACACACACACACACCTGTGCTAACACACACACACACTCAGACTCCTGCATATTTAAGGTTTGAGCATCTCCACATTGTTTTCACTTGATTTCCTGTAAATTATTGTGATTAATTGCAAATTGTCTTGATAAAAAAAACAAGAGATATAGAGGCACTAACTTCAGGTTAGTGTTTGACCTTTGAGCTCATCTCCGCTGTTTGGTGCAAGGTCACAAGGACAGAAACTTTACAGGTTTCTCATGGCATCAATTTGATAATTTAATTTTAGTGTCTTATCTTTTTTAAACAGAATCTGAACTTGTTTTGTCTTACCACGGACTGTATCCTCAGTTTTATCCATTTGGATCCATCACACTCTCTCTAATACACACACACACACACACACACACACACACACACACACACCTAGTTGGAGTTCAGCTTCCCGACAAAAGCAAAAGTGTGTGTTTGGTTCTGAGGAGCATGTTGCTCATCTCATCCTTTATAATGTGCTAGTGTGCAAAATGTCTCTCAATGTCAGTGTAATATTGTAAGATCATTATCTTGTTACAGGGGTTTGTGTGAGAATGTCATGAGCCTCACAGCTGAGGCACAGTAGCTAAGTCCAGATCGTTTCCCTCCGCAGGCTGATTGACAGGTGTCCAACAATCCCCCTGGCTTTGTGCCGGAGATCCGAAGAGGCCGAGCGGAGGCCCCGGTGCAGACGGCGCTGACCTTGCTCGGCTCATCAATAGCCTTCATTTCTCCCAGGCTGCATGCGACAGGTGCTCAGGCCCTAACCTCTGCTCAGCCCCCACCTCCCCCTCCAACCTAAATCCTGCCCGTTTTTATTGGTCCTTCTGCCTTTCCCCTCATCCGTTTCCTCCAGGGACATTTAGGAGCACGGCTCAGGTCTCATGGCTTAAATTAAATGCCTGTGGTTAATTAGCCGAGGCTGCTATTACCAGCGGAGGTGGAAACCCTTACCAGTGCACCCAGGGCTGGGAACATTGGGAACTGTGTGGCCTCCAGTCCGAAAACAAGACGGCATTTGTAGTTTCTCCATTCCTGCTCCAAACCTTTAACAGGACACACGTCTCCATCTTCCTGAGTCAAATTCAGCAAAGTGCAGAGAGTCCAGAACAAGACTCACACCTCCCCCCTAGTGGCTGCTACTGTGCATGCTTCCCTGCAAGTTTCAAGGTCACTAAAGGAAGTTTTGCATTTAGATGAGCAGCAACTATGTTTTTAATCATTATAAATATAT